ATATATAAAGAATACAATACTATAGATAACAAAATTCCTTGATATACATGGTTTCATTGGTTGGTACAGAATTGTACGTAAAAAGCTGGTAAAGGATTGGTCTGGCGCGCGGCCTAGTTGACTGAGTTGGGTTTTAGATAGAAAGTAGCTTACAAAGATATAGACGTCTGGGTCTGGAAATATGTTGCAATGCATGGTAAAAAACAAACTGTATTTTTCGTTGCTATTCTAAGATAGTGATTTAAACATTTAGAGATCAGGATATAAATATCTAAAGGTTTTCAAACATTTATGAGAGGAACATACATTTTAGCTTATCTATGTGTGACATTTTTATTTAAAAAATGTGTCACACAGGAACTTATGAGATGAGAGTTTATTCTGCAGGAACAGAAGACTAGATGACGGAGATTCGGCGGGAATAGAGTTCAAAGTATTCCCGCCGCCAACTAGTTTCCCGAATAAGAAGAGGGAGAACGGCACTGATTAGCTTCACAGCACGTAGGAGTTTTGAACGTAGAATTTGCGCTCAAACTCATGATTTACAGATCTTTAAAAAGTTTAATATGTCTCAAATGAATCCGAAAGAAGTAACACTGCATACTCAGTTCAACTACCTTACAAAGCCGGTCACTGCCTTTAATTTGTATGTTAGTGGTTTTTACTACCATTAATATTATTGTATGTAGACTAGAGAATAAGATTGAACACATTAAAATTAGAATTTTCCTTGTTTTCCTTCAAGAATTTTCTAAGCTTCTTCAACCCTTATCCGGCTGGAATGTAAAACAGCTGTTAGCTACAGGGTTGCCCACAAAGGATGATACTTCAGAGAACCCATTACGAAATACATACTGTTTGTTTCCTTGTATTTTTTAAAGATATGTAAATCCTGAGTTCAAAACTCCTTCTTTTGGGGTAGATACGTTTTCAGAATTATTTTGTTTAATTACTTTTAAAGGACTATGTAAACTGAGTATGCAGTGTTGTGGACAAATTCTTTAGGATTCATTTGAGATGTATAAAAGGTTTCCATGATGTATACTTACCTAGTTTGAATGCATAGTCGATGTTCAAAATCATGAATTTGGGTTTTTTACGTTTTCAGAATCGGTTTTTTAAAATTTTTGAATAACGAAGACGAAAAATAAAGTAAAAATTATACAGTGAACTAATTAGATGGTTTATAGAAAAATTTTTCTCAAGAGAAATTTGTTAATAAATCAGTGCTAGAATCAACTATTTCGTTTTCATGATTATATTGAATTTCTTATTTTATATGAATTTATTCGCAGATTTCTACAAATTCTTCAAATGTTGTCTTTTTAATAAAAATTCCAGAAAATCAGCAGAAAATCTTTGCGAATAGTTGAGAGATTATAGAAACTAATTATTGAACAAGATTACTTATTTTCGATGATAAGATTAATTTTTATTTTCTCAACCTGTTCCTAAACAACTAATTAGTTTTATGAAGAATTTTGTGTACTTTTTTATCGTCGTTATTTATTAATTAAAAAAACAATTCTGAAAATATATTCACCCAAAAGTATGATTTTGAACGTTGAATTTGCGCTCAAACTCAGGATTTACAGATCTTTAAAAAGTTTTATACGTCTCAATTGAATCCTAAAAAATTTGTCTACAACACTGCATACTCAGTTCAAATACCTTACATAGCCGGTCTGTCCCTTTAATAAACCACATAATACATATTCGCATTCATTGTTTTTGATTTCATAATTCTAATTAAAATCTTAATTTATACTTTTGTTAAAATTTTAGATATAAATCTAAAAACTTAAATTTTTCCTTCTAAAATCTATTTTGGAATGGAATGAATTTTTCTTTCTTATATTTTCACAAAACTCAGATTATTTTATTTAAAAGAAATCCAAGTTTGAAATATCTAAGCTTAGTACGTTGGGTTGCAAGGATATAGGAATTAGAAAATCAGAGTTTGTGGAATAAACCCAATTCCTTTGTATAAAAATAAGATTTAAATATTTAAATTTCCCCTCATTATAATAAATAAAATACTTTACTACCACAGTAAAAAATACCAAGAATTTACTTGCATTTTTAGACGCACATGCAAGTCATATTTGTTGCTATCTTCAAATTGACTAAATGATATATATATTTTTTTTCACTCCAAATTCAAGTCCTTCTCTATAGCTTTTTAAATATGTTTACTATCGTCAACAAAGAGTCATCGTTAACGAGGGTTAACAAAGGGTTGTGGTTAACGAGTGTTAACGAAACGACGCATTTAGTGGTTTTTACGACCAGTAATATTATTATATACAGAGAAAACATTAAAATTAGAATTTTCCTTGTTTTCCTTCAAGAATTCTCTAAGCTTCTTCAACCCTTATATGCCAGACTAAGCTCTTATCTTCCAAAAATTGAAATTTATCAGAGGCCAGAATTTTTGTACGGCTTGTCTATTTTGAAACGGCTTATCTGATTCCTTTGCGGTTTAATGGTTGCGTTAATCCATAGATTCTTTGAATTCGATTTAAAAAAGAAAAGTTCGTCTGATGGAGAAGCAATACAAATCGAGAGCGTTTACATTTAAAGGGCTCCTCGAAAATTTTACTTACTCGAAAATTTCATGCAGAGACTGGAATTTTTGTATGACTTGTCTATTTAGAAACCACTTATTATATTTCTTTGCAGTAAAGGAATGATAAAATAAAAAATTTAAACTTCTGTTATATTTTGTTTCACCTGCATTCTTCTTTCTTTCAAATTCAATAATTTTCATAATTTTTCTTTATTTTTCCTATTTTTTCCTGTGATAAAACCATATCTTTCCTGTTACGTTACTTTTTTCTTTCCTAAGTTTAACAAAGAAAAGAAAGTGGGGAAATACAAAATTAGATAAAAGTAAAAGAAAGGAGAAAAGGAAAAAAAATATGATTAATGGAAAACAGAATATGGGTAAAAAAGAAATATGAAGTTTGAATAAATTATAATATTATATTATATTTACATATTATATATATAATCATATTTCCCTGTACAGAGACAAACCAAAGACTTAATTAAAGACACTGCGGCCGCGGGGAGCGGAACTAGTTTTAAATTGAACAGACAATCAGTTTCCGGTTTAGCAAAACATTCTTCAGCGTTAATTTAACTTTTATTTTTACTAATTTGGGAACCCAGCTTTGTTTGGAAATCATGTTTAGAGAATATTAAGTTGTAAGGATTTCTTCATTCCCAATTAAATGCATATTAACATTAATGTTTAATTACTCGGACTCATTAGTCATCTTGGTAGTTGGTTACCAAAATAACCGACCAAAGGTTCCATCATTTTATGAGGTAGAATTTAAAGTTCTCCGTATTACACGAAAGTAATTAAAATGAATTCACTTCAGCGAGTACAGCAATCAGCATGCTTCAGAAAAATCAGAAAACTTATCTCTACAGTCTACTGTATAGGTTGAAATCGGATTTTATATCATCAAAATCTTCAATACTTTCTGATATTTCTATATTTACCAACAAGCTTTCGTCATAAAAAAACAACATTTCAAAAATTCTCAAATCCAAGTAGAAAATTTAATTTAACACACATGTCTACATCTGAACAGAAAACTGAAAACGTTGAGGGTTGACATTTGATTCATTTTTCTAATTTTGGTAAATTGCCTACAACTCATTTTTTGCAAACAGTCCCTTTAGTGGAAAAATACGGAAATCAAAATATTTTTTATTCGATTGAAACAAGTAAATGGTGCTAGGACAATAAAAATTAACTAGTTTAATTCATGAAAAACATACGAAACTAACTGCATATAAGGCATTTAAGGAACAAAGAAAATAGGAAAGCTCCTTCGTATCGGCTAGTACAGAATTGATCTAAATGCGTTGGTCTGATTGAACATCAGTTAGTCACGGAATTAATTCACATTTGTTTATTAAATACCTAAATCATATTACGAGTAAATGTCTATTCCTTTAATCTAATAAAAGTATTATACAAAATAGCAAAAATATTTTCTGTATAAAAATAGGCAAAACTAAAAATTTTCCTCAAAATCGTCGCATCACTCCAATAATTGTCAAACTTTTTTCAATTTTTTTTTCATTTCTTTAATATTATTTTTATATTAAAAAACTACATTATTAAAAAAAACTGAATTCAGGATGACATTTTCCTTGTCCAGAGTACAGGACCATTATTTTTTAATGTAATGGTAACTACAGGGTTACCCACAAAGGATGAGACTGTAGTGACGAAATGAAACTCTTTTAATATGACGATTCCTAAATTTAATTCAGTCTACTGCCTTGAATATAGTACTGCCTTGAATATAGTCTTTTTAAACCCTAGTAATTTGATTACGCAACGTTTACATTTGCGGGGAATCATGAAAAGAAGCAGAGAGACTGGGAAAATTCCCTGCAGTCGTCTCTGAAGTCTCATCATTTGTGAGTAACCCTGTTTATCCTTTGTAGATTCTAAACGAAGTGTACACTGTACAGTTACTAATTCTTAATAAAATTAATCTAAAATTGCTTATAGAGAAACATAAACGTACACTATACAGTATATAGTATTCATTGCAGTAACTTTGTGTTGATGAATCGAATCTATGTATTTATCTATCCCAAGCAAGTATTTCTTCTGAAGACAAGTATCTTGTTATTTGCCGGCATATCAAACTCTTCATGTAACCGTAAACCATGCTCATTTCCCTCTTCTACTCAATCAATCAATATATGGTAAAATAGCATCTTAATACATCAATATCAACGCAACGAATAATGGAGAACATAGATTTTTCTGTTTTTCGTTCATGGCCCAATAAAAATGTCAGACCTCAAAAAGTTTGTAATGAAAGTTTTATTTATCCGATCAAAAAGATTTATAATTTTTATGGAACTTTAAATAGAAGCATTAACAAGAGAAAAAAATTCGAATGATATGAATGATGAGTCCCTGAAAGGTCTGTGATATCTCGAATACCCCATTCAGAATTCTGGTTTTGTAACTGCCTGAACAAAAGAAAAAACATAAAAGATCAGTTATTTATTTCAAAAAATTTTAAGATTTTATGAGAGAACACTGAAAAATTTGACTTAAACTGTATCCAAAAAGTGTCATTATTCTTGAAATATTGAAGATTTTGTTTTGGAGATGGATTAATTTAAAAATCAATTTTACAAATACCTGTGAAAGTTTGCATTACTTTCAGGTCTCAGAATACCGTTCTAATCAAACAAAAAGTTAACAATAAAAAATTTATAAAATATAAAATCCATTAACATCTTTATAATATTCAACATTAACATTCTTAACTTTTTATTGAAAATGAAAAGTCATAATGAAGTTTATACATGCAATGAAACCAAATGGTCACGGTTCGTCATAAAAAATGTTAATGATAATAATAATAATATACAATTATTGTCTTTTTAAGCTTTAGTGAGTTAATAAAATTTCTAGAGTTGGTTAATTGTTATTTTTTTTCCTTTGAGTATGGTCCGTATGTAATCAACACTCCGTCCTTCTTTAACAATTCTCCGGCAGCCCTGGGTCAATTAATTAATTATTCAATCAAGTACAAGCCTTGAGGTTAAACTTTGGTTTAGCGCACAGCCACACTGAACTCGATATCCAAAGTGTACACTATAAAAATAAAATTGGTTGGAGCATTAAATTTCGATTCCAAGAATTAACAGAAAATCAACCTCCCCCCCCCTACAAAAAAAATTGAGAAATTATTTTAAACAAATGATTAGAATCATAGTAAAGTAATTATTTTGATTTTATTCCTGTTAAAGGGACTGTTTACGTAATTTCATGTGACCAAGAATATTCTCTGTCCAATGCGGGTTTCACAAATTAGAATGTGGAAATAAGGAAAAGTCTGTCATCCTTCATCAGTCACAGGTTTATAAATGTAAGGTCACTAGAAATTAAGCTTGCATTCCCTTTAAAGCGACTATAAGCGTAATTTCAATAGATCCTCCATCGGACAACGATATCCTCTGTGTATTCGTTGAGTACAGAGACATGTGTGTGTAAGCTTTTCGAAACCCGATTATATTCAGCTGAAAATTCCGGTGTGCGCTAGGTTACAGTCTGGACTCCACACAGCGCAAACCTGAATTTGAAGATGAAAACAAGCTAATTTCGATAAGTTTACACACACCTATCTCTGAACTCGACGAAAACACAAATTGTAAATTGGGCACTGCCCTCTTTGCATGGAGGTTTACTAGAAAATACACTTACAGTCCTTTTAAGAACAAATATGTATCTGAAATATTACCTGAATAGTCCCTGTGTTGCTGACCAGGGAGAGATATGGATCATATTTATATTAATAATGATATCTATAGACTGTGACTGGATCTGAGGGATCCAGGATCCCGGAGCCTGGATTACATCTATCTCCAGGGGATTCTCAATATTGGAGAAGTCGGCCTTAACAAGGAATAAATCAGTTTAACCTTAAAGTATCAAATTCATCAGATATTGAGTGTTTGCTACAAACTGATATTTTGAATCCCTAAATATTCGCAAATTGATGGTGTAAAACGTTGATATTTTATACTTAGATTATCCCGAATTCATAGTTTGAAATATTAAAGGTCTATGTCATTGGTTTGCAAAGATATAGGGATTAGAAAATCAGAGTTTATATCACAGATTCAATTTTATTAAGTGATTGTACAATCCCGCAAAAAAGAGTTTTCTTCCGATATAATTTATCAGAGCTTAAAACTTTTTAATGAACAGAATGAGCCACTCATTTAATCCGACATTAGAAGTTTTCTACATCATCGGTCCGTAGACAGAATTCTACTATGCATTTACATCTCAATTCTTTTTAACTTAGATTCTGGCAAATCACGTTAAAAAAATATTATATGTTGCCTCGGCTTAATTAAGTCTCACAAAAATACCTAAAATGATTATTCCAGTGGGATCTATCTAGTTCACTAGGTATTCAAGCTATAGTTCATATATACCTTGTATGCTAATATACTAGGCCAGTGGGATCTATCTAGTTCACTAGGTATCCAAGTTATTCTCGGGAACGCGGCTGCTAGATGTCCTGCATGCAAACCAGAACCTGGCAATCAGAATTTATATTTGGTTCATTACTAACAGAAAAGGTTTAACTTGTTCGCATATATTTTCTAGTAGTTTTTTCTTACCAGAAGCAATTTCTAAAGCTCTAAGGTCCATATCAGTAGGTAGGATTTTCTTTAAAACAGAACAAATAGCCTCCTAAAATAAGATGCGATTTTAAGTTTTTTTTTACAAAGTTTTTTTAAATTTATTTTTTATAATTTTTGCAAAATAAAATGTCGCGAGGTATAGTTAATTATTTCAAATTTTCATCCTTTTCTCATTTCTCCATCTGCATGTCCGCAGTTTCTCTTTTTCTTGCCTCCCTTTGCCCGTCCAGTTATAGCGTTGGTTTTGAAAGAATATTTAAGAGTCCCTGTCTTTGCGCCATTATAAGACAGTGCACGATCACCCTTTAATTGTATAGATGTCCCCCTCTCCGTTTTTTGTTTTGTTTTGCTTAATTGTAATAGCAGCCTCAGCGCTGAACATTCTGTCTACTTGCATGTGCTAGGTCACCAGTCACCACTCCTGCACTTCAAGTTAGTTTCTATTTGCAGCGAGGGAACAATAGCCTTCCTGCTATGAACCACACATTTTTACTTCCCTATACAAGGAGGGTTGATATTCAACTAATTCAACGAAGGATAATCAAGAGACCCGCTCAGAGATAATTTTGTTGTTGGATGCGACAGAGAAATGTCCTCTAGTATCATTTCATTGAGAAGGCTAGATACATTACGTTGATATATTGATAGTTTCTCCGCCAAGGGTCTGCATCATGCAAGAATGGAGTGGCGGGTCAGGTCATCATTAATTATTCTGGATCCATGGCTGCATTTTTTCGCTCGTCATAACTGTTAAGTAGAGGAGAGTGGAGATGAGGATAAGGGTTTGTAGGAGTGGTGTATTAGGAATGTTTTGTTAAAATCATTCCATGTATGCAGAATGCGGAGTTGTCCCATTTTATCAGCTGTGGAGCATGGCCCTTCCAGAAAGGGCTCGATCGCTAAGTGGAGTGGATATAAAACCGGATTAGTATTAGACATATTAGCTCTTTGTTATTCCTATTTCTTGACTTAGTACCCTGGCCGTGGTTACTGTCGTTAAGAAGGAGGCTAACAGGGTTCAGGGCCGCTTGGCCTTCCCTCCCTCCATATGTGCAGACACCTTTCTCAGCGTACACTGCAAATAGTGCAGAGAGCTTTTTAGCAGAGCTCTGCTATCCTAGGCTGCAGGAATGCAACTGTAAGTTGCATTACTTAGAGGACTGTACAATTGTACAAGAAATAATCAAAAAATTTAGACAGACTTAGTGTGAAATTTAATACTATACATATACATATACCTTATTTCTATCTGCTGCTGCTGGTACCCTCTATATAAAAATCCAATCAATCAATCAATCAAACACTAAAACTTATTAAAAACCCCTTTTCACGTGTGCTAAATAATTGCTCGGCAAAGAAGTGAATAGTCATATAATTATGTTACATTTGTTTTCATATTATATAAGATTCATTTAAGATTCATTTACAAGTAATTCACTGAAACCCTAACAGATAGGTTAACTAACATAGCCTGCAAGACATGATACTTTGACTGTCGGTTGAATGATAATAATAATGATAGTAGTTAAGTAGTAATGTTTGATTTGTTTCCTTGTTTGTAAACATGATGCGGATTCTGTTGAGAAGTTTACGGAACCCCATAGAAACACTAAATATATCAAATCTAAAAATAATCAATGAACAATAAAGGTGGAAAACAAACAAAAACATTTTTGAAAACATATTTAAAAAATTCATGAAATGAGTTATGAATAGAAAAAAAAGAAATAATTACAAAATAAAATAAACTAACTTTTTTACTTTTGGGATTGTTGAACAAAAAGGAATAAAATATATAATTTAAGGAAAAACAAATGAAAGGATGAAAAAACAATGAATGAATGTACATATATATAAATAATGAATATTGAATATATACCCGGGTTCTCCTGAAGAAATGAGACTAATCCTAGAAGACTGAATCTAGCCAAGCATCATATTTAAGCTGAAATTCATATTTTCCTAAATATTAACAGAAGTGTATTTGCTAGCTCAAGCTGTATCTATATATATTAGGAATTATATTACAAAGATTAGGTATCACTTTGATATCTTGCTTGACATTTTAGCTTGTGCCGCTGAATTGCGCAAACATGAAAGAAATTTTCACAGTTCTCACAAAGTGCATGTCTCAAGGGCATGTGCACGCTTTTCAGGTGCTCTGTAAGCTCATACTTGCTTCCACAATGTTGTGCACAGAAGTGACATCTATACACAGCAAACTTCAAGGTCAATTAAAAAAAATGAATTCTGTAAAAGGATTGTCTTTGTCAACTTAATTTTAACCGATTCTTTATGAAACGATTACCAATGATAATTCATAATGAAACTCTTTAAAAGTTTCATTAAAAAAACGAGATGGGTTTTATTTCTTTTTTCTACTTAAAAACAAATACCACGACATTTCTATAAAGTGGATCAAGAAATAAAGAAACTATTAAAAGTATTTTCTTCAAGATTTTTACAATCATTTTCACATAAATATAAAGAGTTACATTGACAATCGTTAATGGAATTTTTCAAAAATGAATAAAAAATCAGCAATGTATTAAGTTATTAATCCTTTGAAGATTGTTCCCTTCCGGTTTCTCCAAATATTGACGGAGTAACGTTGGTTTGTGAATTCTGAAGCAGAAGATCATTCCTAAAAAGTACTTTAGGGGATAATAGTTCCAAAACGCTATTTTCTCTCGATATGGAACGGGATCCAAAACCCAATCTTAAATAAAAAAGTGCAAAGACATTTTTGGAAGCTTTCTACTGTAAATATTTGTTCTCGTGTTCTCGTATACCTGACCGTTAAGGGAGGTAAATCCTGTTTGTCGTCCACGTCATCTAGATAGAAAAATCATACAACATATGATGTATCTATATATTATCAATCAAGACATTCGTATAACTGTATGTTGCCTATAGCCAACCAAACGGCTGGACCGAATGGTTTGAACTTTTTTCCCAACATTTTTTTTCCACGGCCAACGCCGGGCCCTTCAGTTAGTTTTGAATATTTGCAAAAGCTTTAATTTTTTTAGATTTTTCGTTTTCCAAATAATATTTTTCCTCATTATATGTTCAGCCTTTTTCGTTACATTTCATTGTCTAGTCTTCGTTAAAGCCATATAAAAATATCGTTCAAAATTTCTGTTACCTGTAATACTATGAAAATCGGCTGGGTCGGCTTTAACAACAACCATCTCTGTAATATTGATAAATAATACATTTTTGTTAAAATTTTTATAATTTTATTCAACAAAGCTTATAATTTATTTAATACTAATTTATTCAAACATAATTAAGATACGTGTTAAATAGTATGTGATCAGAGGCCGAATTTAAAGAATTTGAGCCGCGGCTTAAATTTAAACCTCGGCTAAAATATGGTTGATTCCACTTAATTTAATTGTATTAAATTTTTCAAGATTTAAGCCGGCGCTCAATTAAAACCGGTTTTTGGCAGATTTAAGCCGCGGCTCAAATTAATTAAATTTGGAAACTATATTTACACCTTGAATATTCTCCATGTCCTCCGATGGTTCATCCTTCACCCTTTCCAGAATATCGACTGAGTTAACTGGATTATCCTGAATAGTGAATATATTGTCTAACGTCAAGGGTATAGATTTTCAAGAATTATCCCCCTTTCAAGGTGCAGGGGGGGGGGGTCGATACTGTAGGGGAAAAATAATAAATTGGATATTAACTTTAAACTTTTATCCTAAAATAACATTAATTTCTCCTAAAAAATATTTATTTCCCAAATGCAGCAAAAAAAATGATTTTTCAAGAAAATTTATACATACGGGGGTTTAAATTTTTAAGGGGGGAGGGTTGATTTTTGATGCTTTAGGGGGTAAAAATGGACATCAACAGGTAAGTTTTTTCATCCTTTTAGAAACATTTTACTGAAAAATTCATTTTTATCCCCACTATAAATCAACTATATTCCTATATTTCTCAATTCAGCAAATACAACCCTGAAAACTTTTGTCAGAAAAAAAAGATTTTTAAAAGGACGGGAAATGATTTATAAAGAAAATATACACCCTTAATTATATACCCACCTGTTTATTGTTTCAATTTAGAAAGAGATCAAGAAAGAGAAGGGAGAGAAAAAGAAAGGAAAGCCAGAGATAAAAAGCTCAAAATATAGGATTATGATTTAATAAAAAAAGAGAGGCGGTTGAGCTGCATAGATGTGGTTGAATCACTTCTTTTGGACGCCGATTCAGGCTAAAGAGGAGTAATTCAACTAGTCTACATACTTCTCACTATTCATTAAATTTGGTCTCAGTGTACCAAACAAAACTATAGCTTTGGTATTTTAAAATTCGTTTTTAATGATAAAAAAGGTTAGGAATATCTTTTCCAACGCACTGCTTTACTATTCAGATAATTGACAATCATCGTTCCTTGTAAATCAAAGTTTAACCAGAAATCATGTCTGGGAGAAGAAAATAGAGAGGAGAGGGGTTACCTTGATCGAATTTGTTTGAAGTTGAGTGGGAGGAACTGGATCTAAAGATTTTCTTCTCTCTTTCGGATTTCGGTTTTCAGAACGTCTAAACACAATTATCGGACAATGCATTTACTAAGTGCTAAGTGCGGATTTCTTACACTTAAATTTGAGTACAAGTAAAACCCCCCAAAAGTAAAATTTTTTATTTTGTGGAAGGCGGTTGCTATCAAACTTTCTACGAGGGACCGAACTGTAAGAGTAATTTTAAGTCACCCTCCTTGCAAAGACGACAATTTGCCCGATTTACAACGGTACCCTGTGACAGTTTATTGAGAACAACGATCTCGTAGTGTATATCTCTTAATTATTTCTCGGATTCCTGTATATCTGGAGTGTACGCTAGCGTAGTGTGAACTCATCCCGAAAGTAAGTATGTACTTTCTGCGACTTTTATAAAGTAAAAATCAATATTTCTTAAATATAGAAAGCTTGCAAACAAAGTGATTCACGATTACATGTGTTTTTGTAAATTAATAAGAATAGTAGACATCTTTAAAATTTTAAAGAAAACTGGTGGTAATCGGACATGCCACTTTACAAATTGAGGATCACTTTAAATTACGCCTACAGTCCCTTTAAGTGAAACAACCTGAGCAAACTACCTGTCAGACGATGATCTCTTATATTTAGAAGTTATTCTCACCATCTGAGGAGCTGGCACTCTGAATTAAAAAAATACATATATTAAGGGATTCTCCGACCTCCATAAACTCTTGAAGTTTATTCTTCTCCAATGTAACACGTCCAGAATAAATATATTCTACATACAATCAAGTCTAGACATTTATTTTAAGCTAAACTTGAATTTTACAGAAAGTTTAAAGCAGCGCTTAGGCTTCCTGGCTGCAGATCCGGATCCACGACAATATGCGGATCCACGGATCCGAATTCAAAGGGAAAAATTTCAAACAAAACCTGTAAAAAAGACCTTTTTTTTACTCTCAAAACCCAAATTTGAACTGTTAAAAAGAGAAATATTTAAAAAATTTCTTTATTTCTGAATGGCTCATCAAAATTTTGCATAAAAATTGGCAAAAAAATTTTAAAATTCAAAAACAAATTTACGCAAAGCAAATTTGTTCGCTTTATAACTCAGAAACCCTTCCACCGATTTGCCTGAAATTTGATTGAGGAACTCGGTAGAACCATCGGAAAATTCTTCGCTTGGTTTAGAAGTTCTTGGTTGAGTATTTTGACTTTTAAAAGAAAACATCGCTTCTATGCAAATCGGTCGAGGGGTTCCTGAGTAATGATCGGACATACAAACAAACATTAAAACAGAGATTGATAATAAGTAATTAATTGGCCAGTAAACGTTTTTATAACTTATTGCCTAGAATATGTTGAATTATTTCAGGTTTCAGATGGTTTAGGATCAATACAGGATGCTGCCAAACTCCTAGATCTGTCAGTAAACTGTCAAAGTAGGGACTGCTGGCACACAATACAACTGTAATTAACATTTAGAATAAAAATGAGGAAATTCAAACAAAAAAATGACAAGATGGCTTAAAAAACTTAAATTGATATCAAAGATTTGAGTTGATAATTTCCATTTTTAACAAAATAAAATGATAAAACGGATAAAGATGAAAAAAGAATAAAAAATAAAATTATTAAAAGTAATTTTCGTTGATGAACAAAATAAACAATAGAATAAAGAACAGATTACGATTTTATTGCCAATCAGGCACGTAAACAGAATATTATCTCGGGGGGGGAGGGGGGCAAGAGGACTATTGACCCCACCATAAAAAAGGCTTATTATACCTCTGTGAGCTTTCCATACTTTTCCTCCCGAGTGAATAGTTACATCTGTTAGTTGATCTCGGTCTAGCAAACTTCTTAATGCCACAGTCATACTTTCCTGTCAACAGTTAGAACTTAAATAATGCAATTAATGTAAAAAGATTTAAAATACCAAACTAAATATAAAGAAATAAAAGATTATCAATAATTAATGTAAAAAAAAAGAAAGAAAGAAAAAAGTTTGTTTAGAAAAGTAAATAAAACAAGGCATACAGTTTGCCAAAGATAAAACTAAAAAACAGATGTATTAAACCTATTCCTTTACTCAAAAACTTTAAATAGATGATTTTAACAATAAATCTTAGCAATCAATATACATTTCTTATTTCTATAACTTGTGAGCTCATCGTAAAAAAATACAACAATTCACAGTATACAAATTTAATTAAAAAGTTTTGAAACTAAATTTTTGATTTTAAATGGGAGGGGGGGAAAAAATAATATATATTTTAATTAGAAAGATACCTGATAGTTGTTCCATTTTAAACTAAGTATATCTTGCGTCATCTTAATCTTCTTAAAAAAAGACTTAACAGAATCTTTACAGTGTATATTTTTCAATGTACAATGTACATACTAACTCGTCGAAAAAGGTATATAATCATAGAAATCTCGCAAAAAACATGTAAGTCCTAGATAGTTATAATCCAAACCCCGTGACAATGGCAGACTCAAAACCTAAATGAGACTCACCACTTATTTTATAAACGATGTACATTGTACAATGTTCTTAATTTATAAGTACATATTATTCGAGTACGAAACCCGAACCCCATTTAACTGTTAAACGAGTTAAACAAATTACAAAATATAAACAAATATTAATCTGCGAAAATGCCGCTGTTTACAATATATGACGATGGCCATGGCAAAGGCGACCTTCAAAAAAGACTTTGAACCAATGCTTTTAACATATACAGTGCTTCCCATGTCATATTATTATCTCCAAGCTTTAGCGCCAAAATAAACTCTAGCATTTTACATAAGAAAATTCTTATATTAGCCTTATTCAATTTTTCAAAACAATTCATTCTTCTTACATTTTCTGATTAGTCCCGAAAATCGTAATTTCGACCGATTGACGATTCTAATATGATGTGGGACACCCTGTATGTATTAGGGAAAGAGCAAAATTTGTTCTCTTGTTAAAAAAAGGGTTTTCAAGGTTTCACAGTGGTACAATGGGGAGGGGGGGACGGGGGTGGCCCGGGGGGTATAATGCGATTTGTTACTCTCGTCCCATCCACCCCCATGTCAAACTAAAGTGTAAATTGATTATAATGTTCTGTGTTTTCAATCAAAACACTTTAAATCTATTAAAAAATTTTAAAATTTATAATAGCAACTGTACATATCAAACAACTAAACAAATTAGGGAAGAAGACATTTTTGAAGTTTGTGGGACAATTCCTGAATGAAAAATTTTTCTTTTCTTATCTTCAACTTAAACAAAAATCAAAAATACCTATGTAGTACCCCCCCCCTCCCATCTTCCTGATCGGATTAGGGAGGGGGGATTTCCATCAAGATTATAATTTTTCTAGGAGTAAATCACATTCCTTTTAAAAGAGCTGGTTTTAATATGGAACAGCGTGAAGGCTTTTTGACTAGCGGGATTCAATAAAAATTATTGCATACCAAAAACATCTTTTTTATAAATAAAGTTGAAGTTTTGCCCAAATGTTTCTAAGGTAGATAGTCTAAGAAGAGTTTAAGTTATTTCTAGAAAGTTACTCATAAGTAATAATCGTTACCCCTACATTGTTAAAATCAGAGATTTAAATGTTTTTATTGCGTTAAATTATAGTCATGTAAGACATACAATATTGCAATCAAAGTTGAGCATAATTCCTCTCTACGACGTTTTTTTTATCTTTTACCCTAAGTATTATTTAATTTATTCTGTTATAATGTATAATTAAATTGATTTTCAGTATAATGATTGAGCGGCCATTCTTGGGAAAATAGCCAATGATAATTTACTTCTTAGCTTTTGTTACCAAAGTCAACCAATTCATTTAAAAAAGCCTTTATATAAAATTGTTTGTTTTACTGAAAATCTGAACTCAGTGGTATAAACTATGTGTAAGGCTGGTTCTGAGGTTCCCCATGAATCATACAGAATATATCTGTGCCGGAGACTGACTCAGTGTCCAGTGTTAGAGTAGGCCTAGTCTCTAGACAGCCCCGGAGAAACAAGGTTTATCACATCTTGCTCAGTAATATAGTTTATATATGTTTATACCCTATACCAGGGTATAGTGAAGAACATAAATTAGCAGAATGGAAATGACGTGAGTATATTGCAACTGAATATCTATAGACATCTAAGTGAAATAATATTTCTTACCATGGTTTTATACAAGAGAATGTTTCAAGGTTACAAGGGATATGCACTGTTATAAAGTGTAAATCTTCCCAAAACAGAGATACTGCATGTTACCAATTATCATGTTTTTTTTACACACAAAACTGATGGCCCTTTCACGCCTTTTTATTTCTCCGAGGCACTATAATGCATGCACTATTTTTCAAGGTTGATATTTTCGAAATGTTCTTATTAAGAGTAACTAGCTGAAGCGAGTATATTTATATCTAGAATCTGAAAAGTGAAAACTTCAGTGGTTTCTGAAGGTCCTTCAATCAAGTTTATTTTTTTGGGGGGGAGGGGGGGGGGGTTAGGCCTTCCCCTCCTAATTACGCCATGTAAGCAAAACAACAAAATAGACTTAATACTTTTTCTCGAACAGAACTTTTTTGTACAATACTTTTCCTGTTTAGTCAACATTTTCTTTCCCATCTCCTTTTCTTCTCCCTGTTAGAAAAAAATAGATTTCTGCATATCCGAGGCCTTCACGTTTCCTAATCCGAGGCCCTAACTATTCTTTCCCTTCCAGAAACACTGTACGCAGTAGATATACCCCATTCCCTATCCGTTCAACTGCACAATGCTCAGAATACACCCCTTTCCCTAACCGAGAAACTGCACATTGCTCAGAATACAGTACACCCCTTTTCCTAACCGAGAAACTGCACATTGCACAGAAAACACCCCTTTCCCTTTTTGTTTTTAAAACTGTTTATTTTGCTTTGTGGTTCCTCTGCAAAAGTGACCTGTGCATTTCTTGCTTTTAAGAAATTGGAGAAATTGTCATAATTAAAGTTTTTTGGAGTCAAAAAACGACGTTATCTTCCACATTTTTGATCAGATTAAGGTTTCAAGGGTACCGTTGTAAGCCAGGTATTGCCAGATTTACAGAAAGGCCCAAAGGGTCAATTGAAATTTCGCTTAATTGCTCATTGTATGAATTAATTCAATAATGAAAATTCTATTCGGTTTTAAATTTAAAAAAATTGTTTCGAGTCAAATAATTTGCTTCAAGTTAAAAGTATTGGTCAAAAAGACAAAAAGAACTTTAAGATTCCGTTTTGGTTTTCTGTTTTGTTGTTTGAGCCTGTAAACTCACAAAGTGTAAATGGAAGGAATTAATGCATTAAGTGGTCCGTTGCTGCAGCTCTGTATTTGAATTGAAAGGACGGGATGCAAAATGCAGGATAAATCAAATTGTATTTTTCTTATTATATTATTTAACCTTTATGAAAGGAAATATTATTTTCCGATTCTCATCGAACTTTTTTTGTCATAAATGAAATAAATGTAGGGATGTGTGTGGAAGGGGGTAAGGTTGGGAGGTTAAATGATACAGGAGAAGTCTTGGAATAGGAAGACGACTTTTGAATTGAAAGGACGGGAATAGGAAAACGACTTTTAGACTCAAATTATGACTTTTGTAAATAGTCCAATGAACATAAGGCACAGTAATAGTACTATGTAAACAGACTTATTTCTCTGGATAAGTGATTTAATAAGTCACAAGTAAAACTATTTGCTTTGTATAACAACATCAAATGCACTTAATGTCATCTTTCTATTCCACAGTTTTCTGGTACTCACTGTATTAACAACGTTTTTTAATTCTATATGTAGGTACAAGAACTTTGAAAAAAATGAATTACAAATTAAAGTTATAACGAGTTTCTCCTTTGTTTAGTCGTTAGTGTGTAGAGTTGAATAAAGTTTTTTAATCAATTCCAGAATAATTCTATATAATCTATGGACTTTAGTGTGTAGAGTTGAATAAAGTTTTTTAATCAATTCCAGAATAATTCTATATAATCTATGGACTTTAGTGTGTAGAGTTGAATAAAGTTTTTTAATCAATTCCAGAATAATTCTATATAATCTATGGACTTTAGTGTGTAGAATTGAATAAAGTTTTTAATAAATTCCAGAATAATTCTATATAATCTATGGACTTTAGACCAAACAAAAATATGTTAATCTTCAGCTTTGCATTCTATTTAAATATAATAACTATTCTCTCGTATTAAACACTTTCTTACAAAATATTATTTAGTTGTATAAATTTTTTTTTTACAATAAGGATTTGTATTTTCAGAAAAGAATTTTCATGTTACTGACTAACTAATAACTACGTACAAAAGTATCTCTGAATAGGCATATCCCCCCCCCAAAAAAAAATATTTTAGCATAAGATGTAAGGAAAGGAAATATATAATCTAATATGTCTTCATATTTCAGAGCCGAACAATAAAAAATAATATGAAAAAAGAAAATGATGGTTGAATAATAAATATTTCTGAAATCTAGATGGTTTATGGTTTACATAACGTAGGAAAAAAATGAGAGCTCTAGTATTTGTGTTCGCACTTTTCCAGGAAACAATCAAATATATAAACAAATTAACCTAATTATGTGGAGTCTTTGCCACAAACTCAAATTTTCTAATACCCATATCTTTGCAACCTGATGGTATAAACCTTTGATATTTCAAGCTTTAATTATTTGATCTATAATAATTTATAGTTTGAAATATGTAAGGTCAACGACATTGAGTTGCAAAGATATAGGATTTGAAAAGTATGGCAAAAACTGAATTACTTTAATGGTGGATTACTTGACGGTCAAAAGGCTGGTCGCTCGGTGGTTTAACAAATATGAAATAGTCCATGCATTTTTGTTATTTAAGCTACAGAACTTACATTTCTCAAAAACAAAATTTTTGTTTTTCTCTTCGCATCAAATTCTCTTTTTTTTTCTCTACCTTTTCTTCTTTACTTATATCTCGCAAAAATTCTATTTAAATCTTCTCCTATCTAATTTTTCTCCTCTCTTTTTTTAATTCCTACCTTCTCTTTAACTTAAACCTCACTTTTCTCTTCAATTCAAATCAAACCTCTCTTTTCTCTTCTTATCAAACCTCTCTTTTTTTCATCTTATAAAGCCTCTCTTTTTTTTTCTTATCAAACCTCTCTTTTCTCTTCTTATCAAACCTCTTTTTTCTCTTCTTATCAAACCTCTCTTTTCTCTTCTTATCAAACCTCTTTTTTCTCTTCTTATCAAACCTCTCTTTACTCTTCTTATCAATCCTCTCTTTTCTCTTCTAATCTAATCCCTTTGTTCTCTTCTTATCAAACCTTTATTTTCTCTTCTATTATAATCCCTTTGTTCTCTTCTTATCGAACCTTTCTTTTCTCTTCTATTATAATCCCTTTGTTCTCTTCTTATCAAACCTCTCTTTTCTCTTCTTATCTAATCCCTTTGTTCTCTTCTTATCAAACCTCTATTTTCTCTTCTAATCTGGCCTCAATTTATCGTATTCTCTTCGTATCTAATATTTTTCTTCTGTTTCTCTAATCAAACCTGTTTAATTCTGCTAATTTAATATATTTCTTTTCTAAGTATTTGATCGTTACTATGTTATTAGTATATTTTACCGACCAGTGAGACATCAACCAAGTTTTCCTGCATAGCTCCGGGTACAGGTGGAGACCAGGATGGTTTTCATGAATTACCAATACCCAAGGATCTAGAGACCATTGATGCTCTAGAGGTCGGGGAGAGGACCAATTGGAAACCTTGCTCATCTGGGAAAGACTGTATCAATAAATCCCAGGTAATCAGACAAGTCAAAATTTGGCTTTCCTAAAACCTTTTATAATCTTTTGTGTTTACAATTACGAGGAAAAAATGTTGGTTGAAAAACAACATTTAAACGCTAAACTTGTTGCAAGAAGAGGCGCGTAAAAGCGCCCTGAATACTTTCAGTACATTTATCACTATAGTTTCAGTAGAAGTAAATATTTCCATTAACTGTTATAGCGCCAATATTGGGATTTATCTCTAATTGGATAATGAGCTAGATAGAAAGACAGATGTTACCGCAATGCAATTTCTATTGGTTCAGAATAGACACCAAACACATGGCTGAACCCTGATTGGATGAGGCGCTAATGGACTCGGCATACTAAAGTGTTATTGTACTTTATTTTATCTAACAGTAGTATTTAGATAACAAAGCAAAAGAATATTTTTTCTTTTGATAGATTCTCTTTGTTTACATGTTTAGTTTTCTCCATGTGGAACCAAAATTTAAATAGATAGTCGTCTTTATTGTATGGATATGTTCGATCACCACACCACCACCCCGGAGCCGGACTAACCAGAGTGAGAAGCATTTGGTTACTTTTATTTGAAATCAAACGTGTTTTTGTCTATAATTCAATCATCTGTAAACTTACGAATTTGTTTATTTTATACTTTTTTATTCAAAACGTATATATATACCAACAAAAATGTATTTGAGAAAAAAGGCTAAAAATTCTGTATAAAAGGGGTAAAATTGTGATTGAAATTCGCAGCTTTCTGAAATATTGACAGAACCGTTAAATCCACGTGCCACGGTACCTTAACATCTTCGTTCAGTAAACTTCGTGCTAGAGGTCTACAATGCAGATACACTGTCAAGGTTGAAACTATTTGAAAATATAAATGTTTTAGACATTTTTCTATGCATCAGTCCTACATTGCAAATCTATAAATTTGAATAAAAAATTTAAGTTTTTAAACGGAAAAATTCTTCGCTGTAGAAGTATAAAATTGTTTAAATAGGATTATAATAAAAGAGTAGATACATTTATCCCAGCTTAAAGAATTCATCAAATGTAAATCTAAAGTTTAAAAATATTAAAATCTGTAAAAAGCATTTATTTAAAAACAATATATCCAAATTTTCCAAACAACGGCTTGTAGTAAATGCCGTACTCGTAAAACTGCTTCCAGACCTGTATCAATCCAGGTACAACTCGTCAGCTATCAATGCCGACAGCTCATAACTATCAATGCCAAACCAATGGGCATGATATCCTCAGCTTTCAATGTCAACAGGGACACAAGCTCTTAAGCGATCAATGCCAAACCAGTGGGCACGATTTCAGCTCGTATGTTTCAATACCAAATTACTCAAATCATAGTAATCAAAGCAGAGTGTCTTCGAACTAATTTGTATTTAGATATCTATGTTACAAGTTAATGTTAATTGACGTAATTACAAGTTTTAAATCAAAATATATATACAGTCTAGTTTAAATTAACATATTTACAAGATTAGAGGGGAAAGATATAAGCGTAGTTAAGCTAATCACAATACAGGTTTAATCATGTTACGTAGTTATTTACAGCATAGATAATTAAGAATATACAACGTAGTTCAGGTTTACAAATATCGTGTTACACGATATATATTACAGGCTGTTTAAACTGTGCAGCCATATACATGTTATAATGTAATAGTTTTTTGGTGTATATTTTTTACTGATGATGATTTTTATCGAAAATAATTATTTGGCAAGGAGTAGTTATTCAGGATTAACCAACGTGTAATTATATGTTGTATACTAATTAGTTTAGTAATGACTTATGCTATCATTAGTTATTTTGCTAATGACAGAGAAGGCTTGTCTGTCCTTCTTGTATGGTACAAGAAACCTGACTTTTAAATATTCCAATCAGTTCTAGAATAAAGTTAGCCTTAGCTCTTTACATCCATTTATCAGCCCAATATTTTCTATATATTTCTTATCTTATAAATTTATAGTCGATCAGTTGATTAATTTCAATCTTGATAATTTTAGCAATTTTAGCCATTTTAGCCTTTTATTTGTTTCCCAAGTATGCCTTTAAAGGGATTGTAAGCGTAATTTCAAGTTACTCTCCATGCAAAGATGGCAATGCCCTATTCACATTGGTACTCTTAAAAGTTTTGTCTGATTAAGAATGAATTGGATATCAATGTTTATAATTTGGAAAATTGATTATTTTTAGTTGTTGCGAATTGCTCCCTGACGATTGAAAATCTCATATTTAGATCTGCGATGGAATCCCTGACTGTCCCAATGGAAGGGACGAAGATGAGAAATTATGCTCCGGGTGGGTCTGTGATCAAGGAGTAAGATGCAGGAACTCATCAGCTTGTATTCCAATCCCTCATCTGACGATGTGCTCAGGTTCAGAAAAACTTTTAAAAATTTCTAAATGCTAATCTTATCACGTCAAACAAAAGTAAATTGCTTTTTTATTTTATTGAAAGGAGGACAAACACGTTTTGAATTCCTAATATGCAACATGGATAAATTTGCTTCTCTAATGTCGAATAAATTTGTCCTTTTTTCTGTATAGTTTTCAGTGCTATCGTTATAGACACTCCTTTCAGCCTGCGCAGTGATAGAAAATTATCAAATATTTCTTTTATTTCTTCCAGTTTAGAAACTTTTTAAACTTTCAAAACAAAGAGACATTTATCAACAACACATCACAACTTTTAAATGGAAAATAAATAAATCGAAAAGTTGTCAATAATTGAATTTAAGCTTTCAGTATTTAAAAACTCGACAAAGGAGACTCCAGTTTATCATTATAGACATATTAAGTTTTACATATTATTACTAAGACTGTTTAGTATTGAGTGTACGCTGTCAAATCAAAACATCCTACAAATATGTAAAATATCTATTGTTCAGGTTCTGGTTGTATTTGTGTTGACGGTGTGTGATATCTATATTGTTCAGGTTCTGATCGTGTTGACGGTGTTTGATATCTATATTGTTCAGGTTCTGATTATGTTCACGGTGTTTTATATCTATATTGTTCAGGTTCCAATCGTGTTCACGGTGTCTGTTATCTATTGTTCAGGTTCTGATCGTGTTCACAGTGTTTTATATCTATTTTTTAGGTTTTGCTCGCGGGTTCATGTTGTTTGATATCTATACTGTTCAGGTTCTGATCGTGTTGACGGTGTTTGATATCTAAATTGTTCAGGTTCTGATTATGTTCACGGTGTTTGATATGTATTCTTTAGGTTCTGATCGTTTTCTGTGTGTTTGATATTTATTGTTTAGGTTCTGATCGTGTTGACGGTGTTTGATATCTATTCTCTAGGTTCTGATCATGTTCATAGTGTTTGATATCTATTGTTTAGGTTCTGATCATGTTAACCATGTTTGATATCTATTGTTCAGATTCTGATCATGTTAACGGTGTTTGATATCTATTGTTCAGGTTCTGATCGTGTTCACGGTGTCTGATATCTATTTTTCAGGTTCTGATCGTGTTCACAGTATTTCATATATATTTTTTAGGTTCTTAACGTTTTCCTGGTGTTTTATATCTATTGTTCAGGTTCTAATCGCGGGCTCATGTTGTTTGATATCTATTGTTCAGGTTCTCACCGTGTTAATGGTGTTTGATATCTATATTGTTCAGGTTCTGATCGTGTTCACTGTGTTTACTATCTATTTTTCGGGTTCTGATCATATCAATGTTGTTTGATATATCGTGTTTAAGATGTTTGATATCTATTGCTGCAGGTTCTGCTCACGGGTTCATGTTGTTTGATATCTATTGATCAGGTTCTCACCGTGTTAATGGTGTTTGATATCCTATATTGTTCAGGTTCTGATCGTGTTCACTATCTATTTATCGGGTTCTGATCATATCAATGTTGTTTTATATCTATATTGTTCAGGTTCTGATCGTGATAATGGTGTTTGTAAGGATGGTTCTGATAAGGCCTACTGTTTACATACAATATATACTGGGTCTTTTCTAAACACAACCCTCGGTCTTAGGGAATATTTTTCAATAAAAAATGCGATATCATCATTTTTGAAAATGAAAATCTATATAAAATAAGCTGAAATAAAAATTGAAAAATGTTTGAATTAGAATATCTACAGGAGAGGACTGTTTCTGTGATTTGAGGTATGTTGATCTATCTATCTATCTATCTATCTATCTATCTATCTATCTATCTATCTATCTATCTATCTATCTATCTATCTATCTATCTATCTATCTATCTATCTATCTATCTATCTATCTATCTATCTATCTATCNGTCATATTCTAGGAAAAGTGTGTATTGCTAGGTTAGTAAATCTAGTCATACTCTAGGAAAAGTGTGTATTGCTAGGTTAGTAAATCTAGTCATACTCTTGGGAAAGTGTGTAGTGCTAGGTTAGTAAATCTAATCATATTCTAGGGAAAGTGTGTATTGCTAGGTTAGTAAATCTAATCATATTCTAGGGAAAGTGTGTACTGCTAGGTTAGTAAATCTAATCATATTCTAGAGAAAATTTTAATAAAATGTAAGAAAGTAAATTCCAATTTATTTTGCACTACATTCTGTGAGTAATTCCTGAAAATTTTAGGTCGACAGCTCTTAAATTTAATTATAGGTTAAAAACTGCTAAAGAAGGTAAAAAAAGATTGTGAAGTTATGAGTTTACATATCAATCAGGGAACTCAGATCGGTCTGAATTTTTGAAAAAAATATTTTGAATAAATGAATTAGCTCAAGAAATCGTAAAAAAGCTCGTTTTTCAGAAAAGTATATATCTTTGGTTTTTAAACTTATCTCAGTAACTTTTCAAATTTTCAAAATTTTCCACGAATTCAATCTTTTTTAGACAATTACGAAGAAAACGATATATAACATGATAAATTCAAGAAATAATTTCTGTTTGATCTTTGTAGGATTTTTTTCAAACTTTAGCAGCGATCAATGATCATATCATAGAATTTTAGAAATATTGAGCTTGATTAGTGCTCACATTCCAATAGGAATAGTTACCGCGCTCATCTTTTCTCAAAAATTGGTCATCCGTGGATACCTTATTGTACAGCCATATGAAAAGCAATATCTTAAATTCTGTCTAAAAAATCTGTGAGTGTATGATATATTTATGTAATATATACAGTATTTATATAAGATAAAACTGACATGCATATAATAATTAGATTAATATATGTATATTGGAAGTGAATTACAATTGAATACATATACACAAATATAATGTAGAATGTATATAGAAGTATATTTATAAAAAGTATGTATAAAGAACCAATATACAATATAAGTACTCTTGTTCTTCCTGGTCCTTGGGTAATATTATTCTATTCAATATTATTCATCATTCTGTATTCATATATGTATTCATATTTATACTAAAGAAATAAGACAAAACCATAAATTTAAAAAGTAAAAATAAAAAGTTAAATGTTATATTGTCATACAAACATGCAACAATAAAAATATAGAAATATTGAAAGTATTTCGTAATATCCAGCATTTTGTCAGAATTTAAAATTATATTTTATTTAATTAAAAGGACTGTAAGCGTAATTTCAAGTGACCCTCCATGCAAAGATGACAACGCCTGATTTACAACGGTATCCTTGAAAGCTTTGTCTGATCAAGTATGAATAAGATATTAATGTTTTTGTTTCCTGAAACTGTTAATCTTCATTTAAGGCTTCTCTGTGATTTGCATATTTCTTGTTTATAAGAAGCAATGAAGAAACTCACAGAAATAAACACTTTTCGAATCAGAAAAACGAAGGTATCTTCCACATTTTTAATCGGATTAAGGTTTCTAGGGTACCGTTGTAAATCGGGTGTTGCAACCTTAGCATACAGGGAAACTTGAAATTACGCTTACAGTCCCTTTAAAAACAAAATTTGAGATAACTAACTGAATAACTTTTCTGAACACTGAGTTATATCCAGCTAAAATTGTGTTAAATATCCCGAACATTCTCTTCTCAAACTCAAACAAATTAGTAAGTCTGGGAAGAAATCATGATCTATCGGAGACGCCCTTTCATCAAAGATCCCATATTTTCTTCGAAGATCCAAATTTTTTCATTGGAGACCCCAGATTTTCATTGGAGACCCCCATATTCTCATTGGAGACCCCCAGATTTTCATCGGAGACCCCAGATTTTCATTGGAGACCCCCGGATTTTCATCTGAGACTCCAAAGAAAATTTGGAGGTCTCCAAACGAACTCCTCTTGTAAACTATATTCGATATTACGAACTCCTCTTGTAAAGTATATTCGATATTATGAACTCGTTTTGTAAAGTATATTCGATATTTCGAACTCCTCTTGAAAAGTATATTCGATATTACGAACTCCTCTTGTAAACTATATTCGATATAACAACTCCTCTTGTAAACGATATTCGATATTACGAACTCCTCTTGTAAAGTATATTTGATATTACTAACTCCTCTTGTAAACTATATTCGATATTACGAACTCCTCTTGTAAAGTATATAAGGGGAATGGATTGGTAAAGTTTGAAACTTCTCCATGCTATACAACAAGTTTGCAGGAATTAAGCAAAGTTTATGCCTCCCATTTTCTTTTCTACAAACTTTTCCATTTGTGAATCTTTCTGTACATAGATAATTTTACAGTAATAATGACGTCACTGGAAACTAGTATAGAACTAGATACTGGTTCAGCTTTACTAATCTGTACATAGAAAGTTTTACAGTAATAATGACGTCACTGGAAACTAGATAGAACTAGATACTGGTTCAGTTTTGTCACCTCATGGCTCCTCTAGTACGAGTATGATAAAAGCTAATTTATCTAGTTGCATATTAGAAATTCAACAATTAACATTTTTTTCTGCTTTTTAATAAAAGGAGTCATTTTAGAAAACAAAAGATTTCAATCTTTTGTGCAATTTACTTTTGTTTAGCCTGATGCACTATTGTTCAGCTCGCCTAATTCGGTTGCATAATTCGAGTGGGGTCAACCACATACTGTGTACACTAGACGGGCCGGTACTAGACCTGCATTTTTGTACTGGTTTGGATCATGCAACTTTTGAACTATGTATTTACTACAGGACAGATAAGAGAGTTTGTGATGGATATACTGATTGTATCCATGGAGAAGATGAACAACAGAGTATTTGCACCAATATAAGGTAAACTGCACACGGTGGACTAGGGTCTATCAGAATTCGACCCAGACCAACCCCAAATGTATCGACCATAGGGATGCGCGACTACTACCGCTCCATCCCTGCCATATGTTGCCCCGATTTCCACTTTGATGGTGCAGCCAGACTTTTTACAGTACCCGGCCAAACATAGGCCTATTTAGCGTACCCCACTCATGTCAACCGGGGGTCCACATAATTCTATCCAATACTATCCCAAATTGATTGATATTAGTGGCAGAAATTAACCATGTTGTTATTGTAAACAATTTGAAGAATGATGTCGTTGTAGAAAAAATTGCATTCTGCAGAATGTATATACTGCAAGGGAGTGTTTCTTTTTCTTTATATCATAATTCATTCCTAATACTGATTAATGATATTTACATCTTTTAATCATCAAATGCAGTACACATTTCTGAAGTGTAGAACACGTAAAGAAAATAAACTTGCCGTAAATGTACTTTCAACCTTGATGCCATTTGGGATCAGAAATGGAATTATATTGATGTGAACAAGGAAAATGGAATTATATTGATGTGAACAAGGAAAATGGAATTATATTGATGTGGACAAGGAAAATGGAATTATATTGATGTGGACAAGGAAAATGGAATTATATTGATGTGGACAAGGAAAATGGAATTATATTGATGTGAACAAGGAAAATGTTGTCGGACAAACTATAAATAAAGAACAGATGAAATAACAATCAACAGACAACAGTCATGTAGACAACAATAAAACAGATAGATTAAAATAGATAATTAAAACAGACGAAATACCAAATAAATGACAACAGTCATGTAGACAACAATTAGACAGATAGATTAAAACAGATAATTAAAACAGATGAAATACCAAATAACAGACAATAGTCATGTAGACAACATTTAGACAGATAGATTAAAATAGATAAAAAACAGATAAAAAACCAAATAAATGACAACAGTCATGTAGACAAAAATAAAACAGATAGATTAAAACAGATAATTAAAACAGATGAAATACCAAATAAATGACAACAGTCATGAAGTCAACAATAAAACAGATAGATGAAACAGATAATTAAAACAGATAAAAAAACCAAAAAGCAGACAACAGTCATGTAGACAACAATAAAACAGATAGATGAAACAGATAATTAAAACAGATGAAACGATAAACAACAGACAACAGTAATATATATATAACAAAAAAACATATAGATTAAAATAGATAATTAAAACAGACGAAATACCAAATAAATGACAACAGTCATGTAGACAACAATTAGACAGATAGATTAAAACAGATAATTAAAACAGATGAAATACCAAATAACAGACAATAGTCATGTAGAAAACATTTAGACAGATAGATTAAAATAGATAAAAAACAGATAAAAAACCAAATAAATGACAACAGTCATGTAGACAAAAATAAAACAGATAGATTAAAACAGATAATTAAAACAGATGAAATACCAAATAAATGACAGCAGTCATGAAGTCAACAATTAGACAGATAGATTAAAACAGATAATTAAAACAGATGAAATACCAAATAATGGACAACAGTCATGTAGACAACAATTAAACGGATAAATTAAAACAGATAATTAAAAGTAAAACAGATAAAATACCAAAAAACAGACAACAGTCATGTAGGCAACAATTAAACAAATAGATAAAAACAGATAATTAAAACAGATGAAATACCAAATAATGGACAACAGTCATGTAGACAACAATTAAACAGATAGATGAAACAGAAAATTAAAACAGATGAAATACCAAATAATGGACAACAGTCATGTAGACAACAATTAAACAGATAGATAAAAACAGATAATTAAAAGTAAAACAGATAAAACACCAAAAAACAGACAACAGTCATGTATACAATAATAAAACAGAGAGATGAAGCAGATAAGTAAAACAGATAAAATACCAAAAAACAGACAACAGTCATGTATACAACAATTAAACAAACAGATAGAACAACAGAAAATAGAAAAAAAACCTAGCAGACATAAAGTTAATAACAATATGGATGAATAAAAAATGTGTTAGTTCTGGTGAAAATGAAACAAATTGGTTTGGGGAGAGAACAGGCCGGAGAGTAGATGACAAAGAAACTAGAGATAAAGAGGATCCAGATGATCTACAGCATCTTGATGATCTACAGGATCTAGATGATCTACGGGATCTACAGGACGCAGATCTATCTGATACAAGATCAAAGGTGACGGAAACGCTTAATTTGGTTCATCATACAGTCGTTCTAAACCTATCAAGAGTTATTGTTCGACTTTTTCGACATTTTGGACATTTTGTTCGACTTAAATCTGTATTCTATATTTTTCATAATATAATAGTTCTAGTGCAGTTGACCTAAAAATGTACACTGTGTGACTGTACATTGTACATTTAGATTCGTAATATAAAGATCATTGTACAGTCTACCTAAATCCAATATTCACTTTAGGTTTATGATATAAAGATTCAGCATACAGTCGACCTAAACATAATATTCACTTTAGGTTTATATTATAAAGGTTCAGCATTCAGTCGACCTAAGCCTAATATTTATTTTAGGTTTATGATATAAAGGTTCAGCATACAGTGGACCTGAACCTAATATCTATTTTAGGTTTATGATATAAAGGTTCAGCATACAGTGGACCTGAACCTAATATCTATTTTAGGTTTATGATATAAAGGTTCAGCATACAGTGGACCTGAACCTAATATTCATTTTAGGTTTATGATATAAAGGTTCAGCATACAGTGGACATAAACCTAATATCTATTTTAGGTTTATGATATAAAGGTTCAGCATACAGTGGACCTGAACCTACTCCTAATTATCTTCACAATCACTGTCATCAGCGTAATAGGTGCAACAATTAATCATAATATTTAGTAACTCTCCATGTATGTATATTAATTATGTAAATTTTAATTTCTTAATCCCAGATCATATGGTCCCATAAAGTTATTACAATTTGTAATTGTTAAAGGGACTGTATGCGTAATTTCAAGTGACATTCCTTGCAAAGATGGAAATGTCCGTTTTCCCAAATATTAAGTAGATATTAATGTTTAAAACTTTGAAAATTGTTTATTTTCAATTGTGATTTCTCCACAACTTGCGCATTTCTACTGCAAGGAAACATTTGGAATTATCAGCATGAAATACTTTTTAACCTAAAAAAACCAGATAAAATCTTCCTTTTTAATCAGAAACAGGTTTCAAGGGTTCCGTTGTGAATCGGACATTGCCATTTTTTGCAAGGAGGGTCACTAGAAATAGTGCTTACAGTCTCTTTAATCAATTGTTTATTGATTGATTATTTGATTTCCAGGGTTCTGTCTGATCATAGTATATGTAATGTACAGACTAAGCAGAAGAACAACCAAGGTAAACATTTTTACAGCTGTATACAGAATCATAAATGTACATATATAGACCTAAAAACGTAAAAATAGGGATCAAAGTAATGTGTCTTAACTCAACTCTATAGACTCTATGTAGATGTAAATAAATAAAAAGAATATTAGTGTTGAAATCTTGTTGAAATACAACAGAGCAAATAGATTCTAGTACAATAGATGGCAACGTAGAATTTGTACACTCTCAGTACAGCTGTATTCTGACGTCACAAGTGTCAACTCAGTTTTTGTGTCCGACAAAATTATAAATAATAGTGATAGTTTTATAATGAAGTGCTTATCTTACAGTAAAATAAGTGCAATCTAATGTATTCTTTATTTTCTGTTTTTACACTTTTTATTTAATCATGAAAAACATGTCAACTAATATGAGAAAATTTCGTTTTTCTTGTTACATTAGACACTTATGACGTCGTGTATAATTGGTTCATTTCTCTGTTGCCACCTATTGTACTTGATAATCTATTTGCAACAGAGAGGAGTTACAATAGGAAATATTTCAGATTTGAATCGTGCGTGCAATTTGCTTTAGTTTGACGTGAAATATCTATATTGTATGAATTATAGCAGGATAATGATTCTATGGAACCATCCAACATCAATCCATTGCCTTTAAACCTCAGCAATAATATCTATATTGTATGAATTAAAGCAGGATAATGATTCTATGGAACCATCCAACATCAATCCACTGCCTTTAAACCTCAGCAATAATATCTTTATTGTATGAATTATAGCAGGATAATGATTCTATGGAACCATCCAACACCAATCCACTGCCTATACACCTCAGAAATAATATCTATATTGTATGAATTATAGCAGGATAATGATTCTATGGAACCATCCAACATCAATCCACTGCCTTTAAACCTCAGCAAGAATATTTATGTTCCTACTCCGAGATCTCCAGTACATGAGAGGTACATCATACCATCATACCATATTAACTAAAAGATGTCTCTCAGAGCTGAAATGATTGAAACCATCCGTAGGTATGAAGTATTTTTCCAGAAAAAAATGAGATCCAAGTAAAGTTTGGGATTTTGATAAATATTTTCACTTAATAAATATTTAATCTTTTTAGAAAAAATTTGGTTTATTTTCAAATTGGTTGAAATACAATCCCTTTTCAATTTTCCAAGTCACCCAACAAACTTTGAATGTAAAATTATCTTTGCAACCTGCTGGTTCAAACCTTCTATAATTCACTCTTTGCAACCTGCTGGTTCAAACCTTCTATAATTCACTCTTTGCAACCTGCTGTTTCAAACTTTCTATAATTCACTCTTTGCAACCTGCTGGTTCAAACCTTCTATAATTCACTCTTTGCAACCTGCTGGTTCAAACCTTCTATAATTCACTCTTTGCAACCTGCTGTTTCAAACTTTCTATAATTCACTCTTTGCAACCTGCTGGTTCAAACCTTCTATAATTCACTCTTTGACTATTTGATCTGATGCTTATTTAAAGTTGAAGTAAGTAAGTAAGTAATATTTATTGCACAATAACATGTTAACATATTAAAGTGGCAGGAGATATACAATTCGCAGGATTGCAGTTTACAACGTAGATCTCATAAAGTTTAAAATGTCGAAGGTCCACGGCATTAGGTTGCAAAGGTATAAACTAATAGAAAATTAGAATTTGCGGTGATTAATCAGTTTCTTAACCATGGTTTAAAGTTAAGTTACAGTAAACCCCCTCAATAATCAAAATATTATAGAATTATCATGTTATTATACATTCTTTTGATAAAGTGATTGAGTCGGATTAAGAAGAAATTTAGTGTGATAAATAATGTTCTTGGGATTATAAAAAAACAGTACAACTTGTTTCTAGAAAAAAAAGAAAAGGAGGGAGGTTTGTTGATTAGATGTATAGTGTAGGAAAACACATTATTTAACTATTTATGTATTATATAAATATATTATTACCTCCTAGGAGACCTACTTGGTCTATTCGGAATACAAGTATAGTGAAGGAGCTAGGAAGAGGTTTCTATTCTAAAGTTTATCTGGCTCAGGTATAAAACACCATAGTGTACAAAACAGTACACAGTACAGAATAGTAGAGAACAGTACAGAATAGTACAGAATAGTAGAGAATAGAAGAGAATAGTACAGAATAGTAGAGAATAGTACAGAACATTACAGAATAGTACACAGTACAGAATAGTAGAGCCCAGTACAGAACAGTACAGAATAGTACAGAATAGTAGAGAACAGTACAGAATAGTACAGAACAGTACAGAACAGTACAGAATAGTACACAGTACAGAATAGTAGAGCACAGTACAGAATAGTACAGAACAGTACAGAATAGTACAGAATAGTACAGAATAGTGCAGAACAGTAAAGAATAGTACAGAAAAGTACGGAACAGTACAGAATAGTACAGAACAGTAAAGAATAGTACAGAACAGTACAGAATAGTACAGACCAGTACAGAATAGTACAGAACAGTACAGAATAGTACAGAACAGTAAAGAATAGTACAGAACAGTACAGAATAGTACAGAAGAATAGTACAGAACAGTACAGAATAGTACAGAACAGTACAGAATAGTACAGAACAGTAAAGAATAGTATAGAACAGTACTGTATTGTACAATGTGTTCAGTTCGACAAGGAAAACTAAATGGCGTATATATATTTTTATATTATTGTATGTATGGCTAATTGATTTTTTGTTTGTTTGATTATTTGGTCGATTTGTTGATTTTCTAATTTATCGAATAATTAGGATCCCACCTACGGTCTGGTTGCTCTGAAAACAGCTGACGGGAAGAGAGAAAACCTGGAAGAATGTATTTCTAATGAAATAGAGATTTTATCAAATATTAACCAACATAAAAATATTGTCAGGTAGAAAGTGATTATATAATGAGGTCAGATGATAGCTTTCAGATAATATTGGTAAATTTATCTACTTTAGATAAACTTTAGATAAACATTTTGATTGTCTTTGCTGCTGTAAAGTCTTATAATGCAACATGAAGACAACTTTCTAACTGAATAAACACTTAAACAAGGAGAAGTTGTCTAATAACAGTTTCTCTTTGCTGCTGTAAAGTCTTATAATGCAACATGAAGACAACTTTCAAACTGAATAAACACTTAAACAAGGAGAAGTTGTCTAATAACAGTTTCTCTTTTTAACATTAAAACTTGTAATTGGATAAATGCTTGATAGGGATCAAAGCATTATTTATAAAAGTCGTTTATATTGTATTGATATAATCATCGACCACTGCACTGTGTCAAAGGAATTGAGTCTTTGTCACAAACTATGATTTTCTAATCTCTATATCTTTGTAATCCAATGCCGTAGATCTAAGATATTTCGGCGTCAAACCTTATAGAAATCCAACGTATAGCAACATGGCGTATTTTCCGGGAGAACATTTTTTATATTTTTGAAAAATTAAATTATCAGTGTAAAGTAAATATAATTTTCATAAAATCCTTTTATTTAAATGGTAAAACGGAATTTTATGAAATCATATTAGCATTACTGGAGAACTTTTTTTTATACTTTTAAGAATTTTTTCCAAACCTAAAATGTACGTATTAAACTATTTTGCTCCTTTAATGTCTAGGTTATGTTACAAAAAATAGAAATTATGATAATGATAATGATAAGCTACAATATTTTACAAAAACGTTTAATTTTTCAAAAATATAAAAAAATGTTCTCCCGGAAAATACGCCATGTTGCTATACGTAGCGGGTCCATACGTTGGATTTCTTTAAGGTTTGACGCCGATATTTCAAACTATGAATTCTGTTAGATGAAAAGAAAAAAATCTAAGTTTGAAATATCAAAGGTTTACACCACCAGGTGGAAAAAATATAGGTGTTAGCAAATCAGAGTTTGTTACATAGACTGAATTCCTTTGTCCCAATATCGAACAGGAGCTTCATTAATAGCAAAAAGACAACTATGACATGACAGATGAATTGTATTCTGTGCCTGAGGTTGTTTATTAGTTAATATTTATTCTTTGTGCATAAAATGTGGATTTATAAAAAATGCCCAATAAAATGCTTTTTTTTTTGAAGTAGTCCATTTAGTCTAATCTAGTTTTGTGAGTTTTTGCTGTAATTAATAATAATATCTACATATTTCTCCATTGCCTGTAGCATAAATAATAAAAACTCATAAATATATTATTTCTTTTTTCTTTTTCAGACTTCTTGGCCAGAATATGGAGGAAAAATTGATCATTCTAGGCAAATTAATCATATTAACCACTTTAAACAATACAATATTTTGTTTGATAAGAGTACTGCATAGTTGTTAAAATTAATTCGAAATATAAGGAAGACGATTTTTCCGACTCAAATTGCCGTAGCCTTTTCTCTAGATGTTTGCGTACTCTAGATCTATTTCCTCCACGTAGTGCTCACATGTCAAACCCCGCTTCTTCCCCCCCCCCCCTTAACCAACCAATTTTAATGCCACTTGGGAAAATATTTCAAAACATCCGTTTTATTAAATAAATGTTAGAAATATCCATGTAGATCTCCTTTTATTTTTTCATATTGACTTTTAAAGTCAAGAATAGTGTACACTATAAAAATATAAAAAATACTGTACACAATGTTTATATATTGTTTTGTAAAAGTAATGCACAGTGTACGACATGAACATTTTTCCTTCAGTAAAAAACACTGTTCATAATGAATATATTTTGTTTTGTAAGAATACTGTACAGTGTACGGCATGAAAATGTTTCCTTTGATAATAAACACTGTACACGATGAATATGTATTTGGTTTGGTTAGAGTACTGTTTCCATGGGAATCTGAAGGATTACATCACTAGAAATAGAGAATATTTCATAAACGAGGAACAGAATACTGGATTCAATATTTTATTCAAGGATTCACACAATGAGGGTACCGGGGGGNATATTTCAGATTCCTCAAATTTTGTCAGAAATCAACAAAAATTTGCCTCATCATCTGTAAATATGTAAATCTTTGTTTATAACATCAAAAATAAGAAGTTTTTAATTTAACAAATAAGATTATGTTAAATGTTCTTGAAAGAATAATCAGGGGCGGATTTAAACAGAAATTGTATCCGCCCCTGTGCATGAACACAGATGGTTCTGTAATATCTGTATTCTGCAGGTAGACCCGGAGACACAGGAACTACTAGAGGTAAGTGGTTCCAGGTTCAGGGACCAGATTAAAACCTAAAAAACGAGAAATAATTGAACCACGTAGACTTAATTTGAACCAGTTTTCTACAACTTCAACTAGTCGTTTTGGTCAGTTTTTTTTGCATATATTTTCTCTGAAGGTTCAAAATTTAGCTTAGTGAAGATTAGCAAATGTTTTTAAAACTACTTATTCTAAATATTTTCTTTTTTACACAATGCCAATATTATTCACACTGATGGATAATTTACATAAAAACGAATCAAAAACAAACAAAAAACTAAAGTGTATAAGTTTTATATGACGTTTTAGAAATATGCAACAAAAATTATTTCTGACACCCCTAGGCTGAGTACGCGCTTATATATCACCAAACCCATACTGCAGTCCTTCAATTGTCATACAGGGAAATTTTCATATTTCTAAACATCCCAGGGAAAGATTTGACAGGTTCTTTGATAAACGTAAATAAAAGAAAATAGATCAAAGTTGTGAAATGTTGGAAGTTTTAATATAAGTTAAAATACAAACCTAAACGATCAACAACATTAACTTCAACCGGTGCGCTCGTGCAAAAAAATATTTGAGCTATGTCTCGCCGTTAATTAAATCTGGTCCAATTAGATTTATATAGTTCAAGTATTTACTTCAAAAGTACAGTAAACAGAACAATGTACTTTTTTTAATAAACTAAAAATTGTTGAATATCAAATAAAATTGTTTTATATTTCTAGGATTCCGTTGAGACAAGCGTTGATCTAGCAGAAAAAAGTGGTACTTTAGGAAAGATGCTTGTCATACATTTGAAAAGTACAGTTCAATTCCATAATTCACTTGCTATCGGAACCAGTAAACTGCGGAATAGGATGACGACATTACTTCAATAATTAAGTGTATTTGATGATGTTAGAGATAAAATTATGTTTATCAGTAGCTTTAAAATCTACTTATTACGTGAAATGACTCTGTCGTCACTGCACAATTTCTGTGCCTCATGTTCATAGATCTAATAAAAGTTGTAAATTGAGTCTTAACGTCGTCTTTCTATTCAAGAATATTCTATATCCCCCTTGGATCTTTAATATCAATAGACATAAATTTAAATTATAAGTTTACCACAAATATAAAACTTTTATCTATTCTCGTAAAAAATATAAATTCTTCTTTGATTTACGTCCATAATGGCAAATAGAATTTATTTACGTCTTTTTAACTTTAATGATTTATTTTAATTAAGTTTTACAATATTCTTTAAATATTTTTATTATGAAAATATTTTGACATTTTCTTCTTGTTCGTACATCTTTCTATCATAATTCGGCTAATTTTGAATCTTATTTATCAAAGAATATTTTTTTTTGTAAACTGATGATACATAAATGTCCCCCTTTTTATTTTTTAAAGGGTTTTCCATAAAACATAAATACAAAATTGTTCAAAAATATATTAATGCTATTACAGTATTCCAATATTTTCCACTGGTGAAAAAAGTACTTTGGGACTCTTGAAGCCCCCGGACCCTTCCATGCTGGGGCCCCCTTTTGAATTTTTTTATTAATTTTGAAAATTTTGAGGGTCTAAATATTGACAACATTTTGTAGTAAAAACTCGTCGTCTTCTATACTGGAGTTATCAGATGAGCAGAGGTTTAAGATATCTGGAGGAGCTAGGGGTTATTCATAGAGATATTGCTCTTAGGTAGGAAATACAAGGGACAATACATGGCTAGGGGTTATTCATAGAGATATTGCTCTTAGGTAGGGAATACAAGGGACAATACATGGCTAGGGATTATTCATAGAGATATTGCTCTTAGGTAGGAAATACAAGGGACAATACATGGCTAGGGATTATTCATTGAGATATTGCTCTTAGGTAGGGAATACAAGGGACAATACTTGGCTAGGGGTTATTCATAGAGATATTGCTCTTAGGTAGGAAATAGAAGAGACAATACATGGCTAAGGGTTATTCATAGAGATATTGCTCTTAGGTAGGGAATACAAGGGGCAGTACACGGCTAGGGGTTAATTATAGAGATATTGCTCTTAGGTAGGGGATAAAAGTGACAATAGAGCTAGGGGTTATTCATAGAGTTAATTGCTCTTAGGTAGGGAATACAAGGGACAATACAGTTAGGGGTTACTAATAGAGATATAGCTCTTAGGTAGGGAATACAAGGGACAAAGGGACAATACATGGCTAGGGGTTAATTATAGAGATATTGCTCTTAGGGAAGGATTACAAGGGACAATACTTTGCTAGGGGTTATTCATAGTAATATTGCTCTTAGGTAGGGAATACAAGGGACAATACAGCTAGAGGTTATTATAATAGAGATATTGCTCTTAGGTAGGGAATACAAGGGAAAATACAGCTAGGGGTTATTCATAGAAATATTGCTATTAGGTTGGGGATACAAGGGACAATACATGGCTAGGGGTTAATTATAGAGATATTGCTCTTAGGTAGGGGATACAAGGGACAAAACATGGCTAGGGGTTATTCAAAGAGATATTGTTATTAGGTGGGGATACAAGGGACAATACATGGCTAGGGGTTATTCAAAGAGATGTTGCTATTATGTGGGGATACAAGGGACAATACATAGCTAGGGATTACCAATAGAGATATAGCTATTAGGTGGGAATACAAGGGACAATACAGGTAGGGGTTATTAATTGAGATATAGCTATTAGGTGGGAATACAAGGGACAATACAGGTAGGGGTTATTAATAGTGATATAGGTATTTGGTGGGGATACAAGGGACAATACAGGTAGGGTTATTTAAAGAAATATTGCTCAGGTAGGAGATATAAATCCTTTAACAGTTAGTACACTGTTATAGAAAGTAGAAATCAAACATAAGACAGAAAGGGGGGGGGGGG